AGCCAATTAATTTAAAAATAATAGAGAAGAGTGTAAGGCTGTCATAGAGAGACTTTTTTATTTAAAAATTGTATGGTATGGGCAGCCGTTCTCCTTAGACTTGCTTCTGATGAAAGCCATGCTGGCCACTGCGCACACAACACACACTCTTAAAATCAATGTGTAATATATAAAGTGACGCAATTTTGTTCTTTAATGTATTTCCAAGAACAACTAAACATACTGGAATTAGACAGAAACAAACACAATACAATTCAGCAGACAAAATGGGCTGAAATGCTTTACAGACTAACTGGAACAAAATGACATTCAGGTTATACTGGCAAATATTGACACTGAACCAGACACTGCAGAAGTTATTACTATTCTTGTTAGTGGAAGGAAATGCCAATACCAAAGCCTACTGAATACATCTGAGACATGGTTCAGTTTTTCTTTGATTTGCAGAACTGTTGTGTAAAAGCAACAGAACACTCAAGGTTGTGTGCTTTTGTGAATAACATCATGCAAAATCATCTCATTCATGATAAAACACTTCCTCTTGTGGTCTGGTGCTTAGATGAAACACAGTATCATAGAGGGTCTCTGAGCTAGCTGGGCATTTTCACTAAATGATAAATGGAAGAGGGATGGATGAAGGCCATGGTCAAGCATGATATTACTGGTTAATGTTATTTTGATGGGGCTGCAGCTCAGTATGAAGAAGACTAAGGTTATGACGACAGGAAGGACAGCTTACTTTACCGTTGATGGAGATGATGTGGAAATGGTAATGGACAGCTTTTGCTTATTTCGAGCAATTTTTAACCACTAAAGCATCCTTCACTCAACAGAACAAGGATGAAGGAACTAGCAAATATCTTCAAATATAACAATTAGTCTCTTTACAAAGACCAAAATTCCTGGCTAAGATCTTCTCTGTGGTTCGCTTTGGATGTGAAAGCTGGACAATAAACAAGCGAGACAGAAAAAATACTGATACCGCTGAACTTTGGTGTGGGTGAAGACTTCTGGCAAAGAAAATAAACAAATGGATCCTCGACCAAATAATGCCTCATTTCTTATGTTGGACATATTTTCTCAGAAGAACCAACTCATTGGAATAGACCATTATGCTTGGAAGAGTTGAAGGCAAAAGAAGACGACCAGCAACAAGATGGATGGATACAATCAGAGGAATCATGACCCAGCCATTCAGGAAGTTAAATACCCAAACAGAAGACTGGATATTCTGGAGAAACACTCCATATGGCTGTCAGGAGTTGGAATTGACTTGACGCCATTTAATGATAGTAATAATAATATTAACAGACACTGATGCAAGGTGATGTCATAAAACTTAGAGTGTGTTTTAGAGGTGGACAAAAGTCACTACATTTTAATGAAAGATTATAAGAAAACAAGAATTTTGTTTTTTAAGTGATGTAACATGATAAATGATAATATGATCAAGGACATGAGCTAGGTTCTTTGGAGAGATGCCACAGAAGAACCTCTTTCACTTCCCTAAAGAACCTGTGAATAAACTGTTCTTTAAAGAGATATTTTTGTAAAAGAGATCAGAGTGTGAAGAACCTACAGAATCCATACATAATGTAAAGGTTCTATACATTTTTTCCTATACAAAAGTTTTTCCTTGCACCACACGTCCAAGAACTATTTATGAAACTTTATTTTTAGGAATGTAGTACAAGTGGCCTGTGTAGTACGAATACACTATTATGTTACTCTCTTTATTCATTTATTTTATGGATTTTATGGATTATGGTTTATTTTTAGTTTTTTTTGGCAGAAGTGTAATTAAAAGAAATTCATTGTACTAATAGTTTTTCTGTCTTTTTAAAATGTGGCACTGCTATTTTGCTGGTACATTTTAATACATTTCAACATCACAAACCTCAGAAATACAAAATATATTGATGCATATCATGTATTGTGAAGATGAGGAGTATATATGTAGTGTCGTCCAGCCTTAATAAGGAGTGAGTGTTGCTCCTTTTTGCAGCGTTGCTATTCTCATTGACCGTGATCAGTTTTCACTGCCCCCACCTTCTCTCCCTCTCTCTCTCTTACTCACCAGGGCATCTCATCCCTCTCTCCATCCCAGTGCCTGTGTGAGTGTGGTAGAGAGGTCAGAAAACGAGAGTAAAGTAGGCCAGAGGAGCGGGGTATAGAAGGGTAGAGAATGATAGTGCATCCATCCATCTTCCACTTCTCTGCTATGCTCTGGGAGAGCAGGGTCTCTAGAGTGAGAACAGAGGGGGGTCTGCAGAGTGTTAGTTGGAGATGGAGGATAGATAAAGGAATGAGGGAGGTTTGTGTGTGTGTATTAGAGGCTAGGAGGAGAGAGGAGCCTCGGCGGGAGATTTCTTCCTCAATAGGAGAGAGAATGATGAGGGTGTGTACAGTCAGGTCTTAATTAAGTGTGTGTGTGGACTTCTTTAAATTGATAGGCTCTCACAGGGGGCATTTCTAGTCCAAACCAGTCCTGTATGTGTGCTCATATATTGCCAAGTCTGACATATCCAACCCAGGCAAGGCTCCCGGGGGAAACTCCTCATATCGCTCTAGTTTACTGTCAGTAATATGATGAAACGTCCTCCAACCTGATTAATCAGAAATTTCACACATGTACATGCACACCCACCCAGCGGAATCATTAGATTCATTAAACCCCACTGCCCCAGTAAATTAAACGTGCTGAGAGGCTGCTGGATGCATGCCAAGACTGGAGTTTTTAATTTACACATTTGTAAACTACTATTAAAAAACTGTGCAGATTTATTTAAGCCTATTGAGGGTGGATCTAGTCTGTATGCTGAGAAAGCCTGTCTGGCATAAAGGGAAAAAATTCTCACGTATTCTACCTCCACAGACTAAATATAGTGCTTACAGTCCTGTAATAAGTCTAGCGTCATCTACTGGCTAAATGAAGACATGCAGTTAAACTGTACGGCCATTTCGCCACCTACTGGACATTAAGCACAACTACAAACATTATGCCCACAAGCTTCACTTTGGGGTCAATTATTTTAATTGTCTCACAAGCCAGACTTCTACCTCACAGTGTGGTGCATTTTGCCTAACATGCAAAATGACCAACCACAGACAACTTTTTTCCTAAACGGTTCTGCAAATAGCTTTCAATTTTAGAAATTTTGCAGTCGATGCCAACTCCAATTCTAATTGACTGGAAAATTCTATACAGCAATCTCATTTCCAAAAATGAAGCAATATAGAAGAGCATCTGGCAAAGTACAATATCCATTATATTTGACCTCAGCAGTAACATTTCGCTAAATGAACTTCGCTGACTAACAGTGGCTGGCTAGGTTGTACCTGATTTTTCTGTTTCAACTCCTTCAGGTGTTTTGGCACTGACAATGTTGTTTGATTGTAAGCCAACTTTTTGTTGCGAATTTTTTTTACTGTACTTTGTTTTCCACTTTGTCTTAAGTAAAATAGTGCTGGACTCTCAATGCGTAAGGTTGCATTTTTCATACAGACTGTCTGAGAAGTGACAACAGAATACTTCACACTCTGTGTGCACATGGGTGTGTGCAAACCTGAACATCACTGTGTTGCATCAAGTCCGAAGCTTTGGAGTCAACTCTTGATTATCGGATGCCTGGAATCAACTAATTAAATCTTTTTGGGATTGACTTCCAGCCCTCCCAGCAACCAAAACAAACCCACTTAAAAGCTACTAAATGGTTCAAGGAAAAGTCTTGAATAACTTAAAGAAGTAATGCTAAGAATGCTGCAAACTTTGTTTTCAGTCCTAGTCTCGCTCCAAAAGGCTCAGACACAGTGCACACAGAGCAGGTGAAGGCTTGCAGTTATCTATTTCCCGTGGGACAGATGCAACCTGGAGCACAGAAGACTGTGCATATGGCCGATCAGAATGCAATTGACAAAATCCTGATAGTCGTGGCCAGGTTAGGGGCATTCAGATGGCGCTTTGTAAACATGAGACGTGCCACGTCTCCTGCGTAAAACAACAGGACGCACCTCATAGGAGGCAGTTTAATGCACCCGATTGACAAATAGATAAAGACGAGTCAGTAGACTTGTTTGACTTCCCGCAGTGCTGCAGTTTTTCAGAGCCAATCGCCATAGTTGCTCACCACCTGGCTGCATAAGCTGAGACACAGCCTTATGACAAAAGAGCTTAATTCTAACTGACTAGAAGCTCAGCCGACAACAATGTAGACACAAACTGTAGTTCACAGTCCATTAACTGTTATGTGGTGTTTGTGGTTATTGTTTTCAATAGTGTAATAGTGTTCAAAGTGTAATTCAAAATTGTATTCTTCAAAGAAATGTTATATCTGATTTGTTAACTCCACAAGAACTGCTGGCAAAACTGTTCATCTTGACGGTTCTCTTCTCAACTCCTCCTCCAACTGCCAAGGTGAGGCACAGTTCATCTCGAACAGGCCCAGTGATCTGAGAGAACGTGAACAACTGAAACTATCAAAAGCATTTTGAAACTGGCATGTATAGTAAATAGAAAACCTGCATAATATTTCTAAACAAAACAGCAAATGAAAGAAAAAAATCAAAACTATAGTTAATTTTGCAAAAACTAGCTTTTGCAAAACTAGCGAGTGCAGAGAAAGCACACTCAATGCTTTCCACCCTGGTCAGCTATGGATGATGTATGGTACTGTTTGTGGGCGCTCAGCATAAAAGTTGAGTTTTTCAATTTAAATGCGTGGTGTAACAAAAGTGTTGTTCAGGCTAGAAGAGTGCTTTTCAGTCGTGGTGCTTCACAAACAAACAAAAGCAGCGCGTTTTAGAGCATTTGAAAAGGCAGTACTTGAAAGCCCCTTTAATGTGCAAAAGATATCAGACGCTCCATCTTTGTGTGGGTGGAGCGTCTGAGGCCGAGACTAACCATTCAATAACAGGTGCTAAATAGATTGATGTTGTCTTGAGTGTAAGCCTCTTTCTTCTTCTTTATCACCAATCATCATCAGAAATTATGGACAGAGTCATTTTAATAAAAGAACAGATTTTAATAAATTTTTGTTGTTATAAATACATGATTATATTAAACACCTTTTTAAATAAGTTGTAAAAGCACCCTCTGATTCCAAATCAGTGTACAAACGTGTATAAATACTCTTTGCACTTAATAACTCTTATTAAAATAAGCTCAACAAAATCAGATTCATAACAAATATTCTCCTTCTTCTGAAGTGCAATCGTTATTAAAGAGGCACGTGGGTTGTTTCGTGCCGCCAGTAGAAGCTGCTCAATTGAAGACTACCTCTGCTTATTCCTAATTATCCTAAACTGTTCAGAGAGACACTGCAAAACTGACCTCATATTACAGAAAAGGGGCAACTTACACCAAGAGTCTGCATTATAAAGCAATAATTGTTGTGTGTGAATGCAGTCATTGAAGCCAATGCTAATTCTTTAGTGTACTTTCAATGAAAACCTTTAAAACTACATTATGGATACAGTGTATGTCACGTGTGGTAAAGTTTACAGGAAGTGTACTCTAGGTTTTCATTTTAGGGAACCCATTCTTTTTTAAGCATCGTAATAGGAGTGAAAGCTAAAATTATGGTCTGTGAGCATTTCTATGATCACAAAACTCTGTTTGGTCTACAGTTTACGGTTTCTGAATTGTGTGTGTGTTTGTTTGTAGTGGGATTCTGTGATTCAGCAGTTTCTGTTGTTGTGCCATACGCTGTGTGTCCTGAAGAACAGAAGCTGCTGTTACGCTGTCTGCTCATTTGAACGCCTCTGCAAAGCGTGCTAGTGAGCCATTCAGTCCAGTCTATCAAAGCGACATATTGTGTTTATGCATTAGGCACTAACTCTGCTGACTGGCTTGCTTTAAGTCCATTAGGAATTAAATAACAGTGAATAACAGTGTATTGCTGTGTAAGTAGCTGACAGGATGTTTGGATGATATAGTTGTATTAACAACACATTTACACACCTGCGGAGCATGGCAGGTAACTCTGCACACTTTCCGAATGTGTTGTGAGTGTGTGAGAGCGTTCTAGGCTCTCCGTATGGTGTATTTGCCTTTCTGAAGCTGGGAGACGTAGATTTTGGTTTTGCTACCATCTGTTCTTTTGAACCAGACTTCGCCTGCACTGATGGCTGTTATTACTGCCCTGAGAGAGATAGAGAGAGAGAGAGAGAGGACATGAGTTAAGAATAATAATAGCATTTGATATCACAAGACATACCTCTTACTTTTTGGGGGATTATTGTGGCTTTATATACCAAAAACAGTCACAGTTTATTTTTACATGAACATTTTTTTACCTCTCCCTGATGACGCCTTTACATGTTAGCATTGAAAAAAACATGCCAAATAGCAGTAACACTGTTACCGGTGGAAGCTTTAGAGGTTTCGATTGTTTATTTAAGATTAAAAAAGAATTTAAGAATGCTCTGTACTCTTCTATTTTTTTATTGTATAATACCAGGAGCACCTGGACATTAACACTGAGACATTAAGCATCCATGGCACCCAAAAAAATACAATCCCATTTGTTACACCGCCATGTCTGAGCTGAGAAGTTGGAAAAACTGAATATCTGGTTTGCCATCGACTGTTAACCATCTACTGTCATAATTAATGATGTCAATAGTTAACCAATTAACTGTTAACAGACATACATAAACGTTTGACTAATGTTTCCTGATAAAAAGTTGATTTAATTTCCTAAAAAAGTGATATTTGAACAGACAGGATTTTTATTCAACCTGATGACAGTTTCTGAATTGCACATATGACAGCATACGAGTGCAGCTTGTTCCATTAGCCCTACTTAGTGATGCACCGCTCCGGGGTTTCTGGAGTTCATTCCAACTCCCAAGTCCTGCTGCTGAAGTTGACTCCAGTTAATTATAACCAATAGTGCCAGAGCCATTGATAAAGGGATATAGCGGAGATGAAACCATCCTCAGTATAGTTTACAGCACTATCAAAACTAGGATATTTACTCACATGATTCAGTGCTAAGGTGGGCTAGAACTGACTCTATTTAAACAACATGTTGAGTGTAGCCTTAAACTATAGCCGACAAATGTCTTCGTTAGCTAACGGTTAGCCTGCGTAGTTAATGACATGACATAAAAGTTTGCGAGCCACCAACTTTATGTTGATTTTTGTTTAAACTATGCATATGAACTTCAAGTTATCCCTGTTCAGGCCATATATGGTCATTTACTTGGGCTAATAATATGTGGTTCATCGCTGTTGTCGGAAGAAAACCTTGCATTCTTCATGAAATTTACACACAATGTAAAGGACAACAGACGTTTTCAAATTATGTCAAAAACTGAAAAATACAAGGTTTTCTTCCGACAGCAGCGAAATGTAGGTGAGTAGGTTAGATTGCATTACCCTCATATCTGTTACGTTAGGCTGTATTTTTGTGATTTTAGGTTTGATGGTTAATGGTTAATCACTGACTAATAACAGACGGTTATTGGTCAAAAGAATTTGCCAACATTCACATCCCTAGTCATAATATAAGCACAGCATTAGAATTAAACAACTTTGTGGAACTGTGCCTTTAAGACCCATATATGTAAATGACCTCTAGTCTGACTGGCAGTACTGGCCCTGTATTGTGCCTGAAACACTCCTTATGTGAATGGCCAGCCTTGAACTGCTGTTGGCTGAATAGACGGATATATGTAGATGTGTTGGTTTTTGTAACATCACAAAACATTACATCCAAAACAGGCTGTTTTATGAGCTTAGTTTTCATATATGGACTACAGGAACTGGGGAGTAGGAAACTTTAACAATGTTTACATACTACATCAAACTAATTTTCAAAGAGTGAGGAAAATGTGGCTTCTCATTATATGGGTCCTTTAAGGATGTTAAACTGCTTCCTGCAGAGGTACATTTACCCACACAGTGTCAGATTTAATTCAGCTTATAAGTGTGGTAGTTCATTTAACTCTGATGATTTCACATCAGTGTCACAGCATTGTTTTACTGCAGATTAAATAGACCTTGCACTGAAAATAACAGAGAGAGAGAGAGAGAGATGTAGGGGGTAGATGAGATACTGACTGTGCCGGGCTGTCATCAGAGACTTCCAGTAGAACGCTGTTCCCCTTAGAGAATCGCTCTCCCTCATAGAACAGCGTGCCTCCTTCACACCGCACTGACAACTGACGACCTGCCAGAGAGAGTGAGATAAGAGGTAGGGGTGTTTAAGAAAAGAAATTAACTGTATAATGAAATGCGCCATCATAAGCAGACTCTGTCATAAGAACAGCTTCATTTTTGACAGCTTGAGCTTTTTATAACTTAAATTGAAAGCTAACATGCCTGTTGGGCATTTTTGCAGCTTTTAGAGATAACAAAGAGAGTGAAACACCTTGAAGTTTTAAACTGGATGGGTCAAAACAGTGTAAACCACTAAAGTTTTTCTCCTCTTCTGAAAGTCTTTGACAGCTACGATGTGCAAACCTGCATTGGCTGTAGTGACTGTATGTAGTCATGCTAGTTCTACTTTACATTCAAACTAGGAGTTATGACCTAAATGCAAGGATGTATTGCTCATGGATTCCAACTTCTTTATGGTCAAAATGGCTAATGGCTGTTTTTATTAGCCTTTTTAAACTGTTCACACTTTGTGGGCTATATGAACAATGCCAAAGTAGCAATATAAATTACACTATTTGTTCTTTAATGGACTAAACATAAATTCTTAAATGAAAATTCAGTTGCCTATTTAATTACCATATGTCAAATAAAGTGCTACATCGAAAGTAAGTGGCAAAAGGCTATTTAGTACAATGGGTCATACAGTTATGCCACATTTCAGTCTACAGCACTGTGCAAAAGCTAGAGACTACCCTTCATTTATTTAAGTCAAAACAGCGATTAAGTTATTCATTTTTCAGTGTCAAGAAAAAAAGCAGAAAGCATTTGACAGAAAATTACACAAAATCCTCAATAAATATATCATAATATATATCTACTAAATCTCTTTTCAGGTGACTTGCTTTCAGGTTTTCAATGAAATCTGCAGGGTTTTTTATCACACTTCCAAAGTTCAGTCTTAAACGTTGGTTGCATTTTCTTACAGTCCCAAACACATCCAATGATGCTGAAGTCTGGAGTGGTCAGTCCATTGTTAGGGAACTCTGTGCTAAGAAGCTTCTTATATCAAATCTCTTCAGAAAAAACTTGTACTTAAAGGCCTTTTTGACTAGAAATTAAATAAATGAAGGGTGGTCTCTGACTTTTGCACAGTACTGTAGGTGTAGCAGCAGCACTGAAATGCAGTGCGAGAGCACCTACTTGACTCCTGTTATTTACCTTATGAAACTGCATCACAGATCGGCCAAAAATCAAAATAATAAATTGGCCAACTGCTGTGCATCCCTAACTAAAAGACTGTGTGTATTTCCTACAGTTGCCCCAGGCTTGTCAAACACAGTGTCTCAGACCTCATCAACAGACGTACCCCTCGCTAATTGCGCACACATAAACACCGTATTTGCTTTGGAGGATGCATCCCGTAATGGATGCATAAACTCACACGCATTCACACACTCTCTTTCCTCTGAGGTAATTGCGAACGATAATGAGATATTTGAATTAAACATGATATGGATTCTCTCTTATCGGCTGAAGGCATTGTAGTTAGTCGGGGCTTTCTCTGAGAGCAAGTGAGAGAGAACGAGAAAGAAAGAGTCTTAATTTTAGCCATAATATCCATTGAGACTTTCTGGAGAGGCAAATTATGGCTGAAATATGCTTGGCTCGTGGCTAGAGCTTTGATAGGGAGTGAATTTATCCGCATGTAATGAATTAAAGGCAGTCAGAGCCATGGTGCAGTTCAAAGTGTTAGTTTGTGCTGAGACAGATTATTATGGCTTTTTACAGGCGTGCCTCTTGGGTGACCTCTGACCTCTACAGTAGGAAAGAAACAGCTGCCTGAGGAGACAGAGAGGGACTTCTAGGGATTAGAAGGCAAGACGGCACAGGATGCCGGATACACACATCACGCACAGACACACACGCACACATCGATTAACTGCTGAGCGCTGTGCTGAGACTTACTTTCTGACTTCTTCTTCAAGGGCATGAGTGCAGCTTTAGCCTAAAGATAAAGACAAAGATACAGCAATCAAAATTCCATTTCCCATACCAGCACGCACATCCACACACACTAAGGGTGTTTTCTACCATGCCACGTGTTGTAGTTTTTGCCCTACAATACAATAATTGTTTTTATTTTTGGCTCGCAGTCTAATTGCCTAAGACCACAGCATCCAGTGAAAGCACAATTAAGCCAAAGAATTAATTTTCTTAGAAGAGAAAAACATTTTAATACACACTGAGACAGATTTACTAAAAGAGGGGCTAATTACTCATTCCTCAGGCCATCAGGGGTGACTAATTTCGCAGGTTATGTACTAAGAACTTTCATGCAAATAAACATCTGTGCAACTTCATAATTAACATGTAACTTGCACAATATAAACCCCTGCTTGGCTCACATGCTTTTTGTATGGATGTCTGTTTTTGCCAGGTAAGAGGTAATAACAGTTCTTTTTATCCTTTTCTGTTTATGATTCTGTTTATGGCTCATCAAGTCAAAATAATAACTTATTTTTGCAACTCTGTGACATAGTAAGTCAAATGATGTAAAATGAGAAGAAAGTTTCATCAAAGAATGGCTGTGACATTTCTGCTACAGAACCCACAGCGTGCACAAAGTTACAAAATAATGTACACGGCAAAAAATAGTTTGTAAGTTCAACCTAAAAAAATAGTTAATGTGGTAACAAGTAAATGAACTAGTTTAATTCAACCTAAATATATAATTTGTATGAACATTTGCTGTAATCATACATTTAGTTCAATTACTGTTTTTTAAGGTTGAACAGGCAAACCAGTATATCTAGAGAAGCTTTGGTAATGCAGAGATTCCACGGGAAAACACATTTTAAAACAGAAACCTATGAAATCAATATTTAGACAAAGGCTGCTTTGAAGACATTTTGATGAGTATTTAAAATATATCCAAATAGGGGTTGCAAAATGTAACAAATTTCCGATCGATTACTGCTAACATTGACAACAGTTATCGATTAATCATCGACAAATGATAAATAAGCATGTCCTATAACACAGAAAATATAAAACGCATATTTTTCTCAAACATACTTTTAAATCAGCTGTTTGTCTAACACGCTCTCTGTGTGCAGAGTTTATGATTTCACTTGCTGGTTTTGCTCAGTGTAGTAGCATGTACTGTGGTATAGTTTGCTGTGGTCAATGCGGTCAAGCAGTCGATGAGAGCTGTGGTAGTGACCGAAGCTAACTGTGTTTTATTCACTCTTCTCCCTGGAGTGTGCCTCCATGCTTCAGGCTAGAAGAAGTTAATGAGCTCCTGAGATCTCTCAATGCTGACGGTGCTTATTAGTATCATGCCTTTTTCAGTCATTTTGCAACTCTTTTTGTAAAGTGTCTATTCCTGGCTGTTGTACATTAATAAACTCATGACAGAATTAAGGCGTCACAGTATCAGCAGTGCATACTTTTATTTTTCTTTTCTTGTAAAATGCTTCCACACATGACTCTGCTGCACAGCTTCATGTCTCACTGTTTTGCTGCATTGCATGACCAGCAATTACATAGCACCCACTGTAGATTTAGCAAAGAACTATTTAAATTTGCCCAATGGAAGACTGAAAATTTTTGGGTTTCATAACATACCTGATAAAATGAATCGAATATCGATTGATCGTTTACATCTCTACCCCAAAATATTCGGAAAAGCAGTTTAAATTAAGGTTTGTAGTGGTGCAAAATGTTCATAAATCTGCCCTATAAAGTGTTAATAATTTCAGTTGCAGTGCAAAAGTGCAATTTTTTGGTCTTTTAAGGCATTTCATGAGTGTTTTAGAATAAAAGAACACTTTTCAATTTATGTCAATATGTTTTACATAACAAATACGTTATACAACACAAAATATAACTGTATTCAATTCACAGTGTGTACAGTCTCTCAACCCAACTATATTAAAGACAAAAAAAGACTACTAATATCTTATCATAACAACCCTAATACACACACACACACACACACACACACACAAACACACACCAGACAGAAATAAGCAGTTAAATTCTGATAATGGATGACTGGGTGGGGGATGACAGGTGAGTACCTTCTTGATGGCCGTCCAGTCCTCCAGTATATCAATGTCCCTCAGCATGTACACTATGTAAGGACCTGAGATAGATAGAGAGAGGAAGAGAAAGAGAGAGAAATGGCCATGTAGAGTGTAAGAGGGATGAAAAATGTAATGCCGACATAACTCCAATGAAAGAGGGATGGTGGTGGACAAACTGGAAGCCCTAAAGGCAGGACAGGTACAGGTGCATGCAGAGAAAGAGAGAGAAGGATGGACTTCTGTGGAAGTGGGAATGGATTACCTGATACGAGCGCAGGCTTTTTTTTTCTCTCTTGACGGGTAAGGTGACTTCTTCTCTTACACTTCTTCATCCTCACTTCATCACTCCACCACTCTGAAAGAGAGAGAGAGAGAGAGAGAGAGAGAGAGAGAAAGGGCGATTCATATCTCTGCATGTGTGTGTGTGTGTGTGTGTGTGTGTGTGCATGAGAGTTTGCACGTCAATGTCATATCAAAACCTTTTTTTATCTTCTACACCATTTAAAAACACCAGCAGCTCTTTACATTGTGTGTATATTTCATGAAGAATGGACCAAACAGAAATGCTCCAAAATTACTAGGAATAAAATCTCATTACATCAACTTACATTAAGTCAAATATTTTTCCTTCTCTTATAAAGTTACTGTTTTAGAAAAACAATTTTTTTTAAGACATCTTTTTCTGCATGAATCTGCACGTTTGGTGTGGCAGTGTGTAAAAGCATGTACCTGAGGTGATGTCTACACTCTGTTTGTCCTCCTCTAGTCTGCGGATCTTCTCCAACAGTTCTGTCTTCATGGCATCAAACAACAGGGTTCTCTCACTCTGCACATCCAAATGCACACTTTAGGCAAACACTTTCCACAAAAAATCACTCTTCACACTTGACACCTACAGCTGGCAGTACACTTCAAACAAAAACAACATTCTGAAGCATAAAATAATATTTCTTCAATTTGTATTGTGCAGTGTGCACTGCTTACTGAACAGAAATCCAAATCACTGCCTTGTTTGTTCTGACACCTCCCCTCACTGTGACTGGTCCACTGCACGAAGTGGGCTCCTAGCAGTGCTGAGTTCTATTTAAATATAGCAGAGGGTTTGGCAGTAGCTTGGTTTCACTTACTTCTTTCTTTGTTTGAAGTTTACTGCCAGCTTAATTGTGTGTTCTACACATGCTGAACAGTGTTACCTCCAGATGTTGTTTTGCTCCCTGTATCTCACACTCGTATTTGTGTCTGATCACCTGAAGACACAATTCTCTGTACACACCTACACATAACAACAGAAACACAGTCTTTAAACGCTTCCCCCCAGTGCAGTAACTTTTCCCTTAGAAGTCACAATTGGCAATAACAAAAGCATGTTGTAATTTTAGAATAATTATTCATCACTGTAAGCTCAGTGTTAGAAATGTAAAATCCTGTCAAAGGTACAGATTCTAAACTTCTGACTGATACTTTTGTGTTTGTAAGCTGAAAATGAGATGATATACGATGATGCTGTGCCTTCAGTATTAGTTCGCAGAAAGATTTTTGCCATGCTTTGTCATTCATTGGCATCTAAACAAACAAAAAGTCAGATGTGAAGCTTCAATTCTGTCAATACAGAATGGAAATAGAATGTAAATGTAATTTGTTTTATAAGCATGCAGCTAATTAAGCAATTACACTTTAAAGAGTACAACAAAATAATAATAATAACTCTAGCCCTCTAAAGGGTTAAAATGTGATTTAAGACCAGCTATATATTGTTGTAAAGGTAACTTGCTAAATAATGAACAACAGAAGTACAGCAGACTACGGCTTAGCAACGTACTCATCGATGCTGCATGAAAGCACAGACACAGTGAAATGCAAAAGTTTGGGTGCTCCTAGTCTAATTGCATGCAGAAAAAAACAAACAAACACAAAGTTATGGCACATTTTATGTTTTTTCACAATATTCCCAATAGAAGTTGTACACTGCAAAAAAAAAGTTTGTTGACTTAAAAAATCAACAAAATGTGTAATTTGATTGAGGATGCTCAAACTTTCCATTTAAAATTAAGTTCAGCAGTTCAGCTGTACAGAGCTGATTGGGCTGCAGTGGGGATTTCTGCACTGCACCAAAAACACAAGGTGAATCAACTATAAATATTTCTTCAGTTTGTTACAGCTAAAATATTTTAGATTAGCTTTATGATTTTAGGTATATATTTAACCTCTTAAAATCCCAGGCTTATTGCATTCTAAGGCTTATTTTCAGTAACAACATATAAATCAATGCAAACTGGCATTTAATCTTCAGTTACAGGAGTGAGGAATAGAAGTCTGTACCCACAGGCAGGTCCTGGTCATTTAAAGAATTAAGTGAATCAAGTTCACTTAGTTTATTTTAAAGTATAAGTGATTTAAAATGCATTTTTCACATTGAAGTTACCAATATTTTAGTGTTACCTGCTACTTGTGTGCGTAGCTGCATGTTGTGTTGAAGGGTGGCCAGCGGCTCTCGGTACTCTCCTGCTTTTCCTGTCAGCACCTCGTCCAGCTTCACTTTCACCTGGTCCAGCCTTTCTCGAAACAGTCTACACACAACAGCACAGGACAAAAAGGTGCCCTACTGAATGCAGCCTACAACACACATTTAGGATATATTTTCCTGATATTAAAAAATCAATTAGTAAATTGAAAGATTTAAAGTTTTAATCATTAAAAATTCACTGAGAATTCATAAACATTTTTAAATGTAACATAAAAGTATATTATTAAATTAATATTAAAGCCTGACATGGGCTTAATTGGAACATGATGTTCTATGTACTTAATTAGTACAAAACATAACATTTTTTGTTACTGTAATTTAACTTTAAAATAAAATGTGGCTTAATAGATACAAAGTTTATTTCACTTTGGAGTGTCAGAAAGAGAGTGACGGATCTCATCACTGCCAGACTCTATCCTGTGTGCCATTAGATTTGGTGTTTTGTATTAAAATCCAGGGAAGCATCAGTAGCCCTTTATTGCTGTATTGCCATAATTACATTGCACTATAATATCCCTTTGATTATTTATTTCATTGTTTTGGTCTGAATTAAACCGTGTCATGTGATCCAGTAGATCCAATCAAAGAAGAGCGTTCTTACTTGTCTTTAAGTTCCAGAAACTGCTTTTCCAGGTCAGACATCTCATCCAAACACTCCATCCTCCTCCTCTCACAATCTTCATCATCCATCTCTGAGAGAAAATTGCATGAATACTCATTTTCTATCCATCTTTGCTCTTTCCATCATTCCATCCTCACTAGATTAATAAGCTCTAACAGTAAATTGGAAAAGACTGCCCTTTTACATTGAGATCAGTTTTATCGAGCTCACTTTGTCTTGTAATAGTTAAGATCATGACTTGCACAAGGAGAGCTGGAAATCTAAAACTGTGCATGATTAATATCTTAAATTGTAGTCATGGTAAATATCTTACTGGTACAGCTGTCATGCAAAGCACACCCTAAACAATATATGTATACACAGTTATGGGTATTTATATATATGTGTGTGTGTGTGTGTGTATATATATATATATATATATATATATATATATATATATATATATATGTTAGGGGTGCAACGATTATTCGACTTATTCGACTAAAATTGTTGACCAAATTAGTTGACAAGTAATTTAGTAATCGATTAGCTGGTGGCGTCATTACACGTCTTTCTCGCGCTCACTAGGAACGTTTTGACTTTACCGCTCCCTGCAGAGATAACAACAGCGCGATGGCAGCCTGAAGAACAAATTCCTCAAAAGTGTGGGAGCTGAACTCAAAAAAAGGTTGTGTTATTTGTAAAGCTTGGCTGACACGGAGCACATCCTCCATGTTGGAGCATCTGAAGAGAAAACCTGTCGGCTCACTGGGTGAATTAGATTCATCTCGGTAAGATACGCCGCGTCCCAAACCGCATACTAGCTCACTAAATAGTGTATAAAAATAGCGCATATACCATTAGAAGTGCACTCATCAGTGTAGTGTGTGAAGTACAGAAGTGTGTAGTTTGGGACGCGGCGATAGTCGTGCTAGCGCGCTAGTGTTAAATTCCGTCCTACTTCATGTTCTGAGCTGAGCTGTTACATTTTCTATTTGGAGATTCTGTTCTCTGGTATCGTTAATGGAGCTGAAACGGAAAAGCAAGTTACTATTATTCACAGCGACTCTGTTCACTTTCCAGATAACGTTTACAGTTTTAAACACTGCATCGTCGTCTTAACGCTGAGGCCGCCGGTGCGGTCAAATCGGGCGAACACAGGAGAGAGTTTACAAACAGGTCTCTGTTCTCCGTGAATGTTTGGTTCCATCTGCTAAGAGTTTAAGGAGGTAGTTCTCTGTAAACACACAGGGTAGCTGGACAAAGGGTTGCCATTGAAGTTAAGCGTTTACAAAAAATCGTTCATATTTAACTGTTCGTAGGGAAGTTCGCCACAAACATTGGCCGCTTTCCCATCCGCTCCATCAGAGCGCGTCTCCTCTGCAGTGGGGAGTATCCGCTCTCAGAGGAGAGCGAGTCTCTCACAGGAGCACGGAGAGATACAATAAAGACCTACAATAAAGACCTGTGATTGTAGAGTTTAGTTTCAGCAGAGTGTAGACAGACAGCAGAATGTACAAAACACTGTTTAAATATAACATTTAAATTTAGATTTATTTTTTTATTTACTTGATTAAAGGGAAACGGATTCAGTTGTGTTATATTTTATTGCTGCTACTTTGCACATCCTTGGTTATATATTTTGACAGGAAAAATATATTGGAGTTTTATTTTTTATCTTTTGTATTTTGTAGTGATTCATAATCCGAATAATCGATTATTCGTTTCAGTAATCAATAAATTTCACTAACAAATTAGTCGTTTGTTGCATTACTGATTTTTCTTCTAATACTCTTTCAACGTGCTTACAATCATCAAATTCATCCGCTCAGGGAAGGGGTCCAGAGCACAGCCAGTAAAATGTTCTTCTGCACATTGTGTGCAATTATACATTTCCACCAGAGAGGTCTCCAACCCCCAAAATGTACATAATGTAAATTTAAATATACTGAAAATATTTTAAACCGTGATAATACACACTGAAATCATTTCACCAGTACTGACAGCTTTTATAAAGCCTCTGTTTTCCACTGCTACTTCTTTATAACAACTAATAATATATATATATATATATATATATATATATATATATATATATATATATATATATATATATATATATTATTAGGTGTTATAAAGAAGTAGCAGTATTTTATCATGTATCATATTTTACTGGCTGTGCTCAGGACCCCTTCCCTGAGCGGATGAATTTGATGATTGTGAGCACGTTGAAAGAGTATTAGAAGAAGAATCAGTAAAAACTTGTAAGATACAAGTGAAATATCTACTATTGTGATCAGATCTTCGAGCTGGACCTTCTTTTTGAGGCTGTGAGTGTGACGTTAATATGTGTGATGCAGTCCGAAAACTTATGCAAAGTCTGACCCCACATTCTTTCTTTTTGAATGATTATTCCAGGCTTTACAGGGTGACACCATTTCTGGCATGTTTTTGTCTCCTGACTCAGAAATGTTACTTCTTCAAATTCTAGCAAAAATTGTTACATAGCCCAGTTCTAACAATATCACAATAATATTGAAATGTGATCATTTTGGTCAGTGTTTATCTTTATACTGTCCCATCCCTAATCAGCAAAAGGCCTTTACACAGAAATCACTTAATTCAGGTGAGCTCTCAAGTCTAGTGAATTTATAATATTATAAAAAATATAAGTATATTTGATAACAAACTAATATACATTACACACACCTGAACTCTCCTCGTCTTCCTCTTCATCTTCTTCTGCTTCACTCTCCTCCAGGTCACTGTCTCGCTCCTCTCCGCTCTCCTCCATCGTCTCTTCTGCCTCTCCCTCCCTGCCTTTCCCTCTCTTCCTCCACCTCTCCATTAGCATGAGGCATTTCAGAATCTGCCTCCGTTTCCATCTCCTCCTCCGGTTCTCTGGGAGCAGGCTGGGCTGGCATCGCTGCTGTACAAGCCCTCTATTTACTGTGTGTAACGACAGGTACACATGCTGTTTTTATATGCCACTGCTAATAGCAGGTGTCACAGTGATATTTTAGGCAAAAGGCCCATGCAGATCAGTACACTGTATAAAATATGAGCACACATACAGTCATATGCAGGCACCATGTGGTCATGTTTGGTTGAAATTTCAGTGAAAATAAGTACACATCCTCTACACGGAACACACTTCTTCATAATTCCAGAAAAGTAGAGACAGTAAGTGAAAATGCTAATAAAAACAGAGAGCAATAGTTGGTAATTTCTGCTTGACCTGTATTCAATTGAAAACAGAACACAATATTTGAAGTTTTACTCTATGAACTTTTTGTAAATATATGCTCATTCCAAATTTGATGCCTGCAACATAAACACCAAAAAAGTTGTGACAGGAGCATGTTTACCACTGTATTACATCACCTTTCTTTTTAAAAGCACTTAATAATCATTTGAAGACCCTGAATGATTCAGTTTTGAAAGTGTATTTTTTTCTGCTGTTCTTCAGTTATACAAGACTTCAGCTGCCCAACTGCACAGGGCCTTCGCTGTTGGGTTTTTGCACTTCATAATGTGCCACATGGTTTTAACAGACCATTCTCACACTTCTGTGTGTGTTAATTTAGAAGCATAAATAGTAGCGTTAAATGACTTCTGGTCACACTGCAAACCAGGAGCATGGCTGTTTCTGAAAAAAGATCATCCGAAAGACAGCATATGTTACAAAAGTGTTCGTATCTTTCTGTGTAATGGTGCTTTCACAGATGTGCAAGTTACCCACTAATACCTCGCATACCATGACAAATCCTGGTTTTTGAAATTTATGCTAGTAACAATCTGGAATGTCCTTTTCTTCTTCATTCTGGAGAACACAACATCCATTATTTCCACCAGTAATCTTGAGGTTGACTCCTCAGACCACAATACACATTTCCACTGTGCATCAGTCCATTACAGATGAGTTCTGAGAGAAGTCGGTAGTGTTTCTGGAAATAGACACACTCTGTATCGAAGAGTCTTAACTTGCATTCGTGGATGCAGTGGCAAACAGTGCTCAGTGACACTGGTTTGTCAAAGTATTCCTAAACCCATGTGGTGATATCTATCATAGAAGCATACCAACCTTTAATGCACTGCTGACTGAGGGATCAAAAATCACATGCATTTAAGTGTGGTTTTTCACCCTACAGAGACTGTTCCGGATTCCCTACATCTTTTAATAATATTATGTACCGTGGAGGGTGAAATACCTAAAATCTTTGCAACAGTTCAGCAAAGATTGTTATAAACTGTTGGATGTTTTGCTAATGCATGTTTTTGGCCAAGTGGCGAGCCTTGACCCATCCTTGTTCATGAAGTACTAGGCCAAGGGTGTCCAATCTTATCCACAAAGGGCCTGTGTGGCTGCAGGTTTTCACTCAAAACAAGCTGGAGCACACTTGATTCCACTTGTTTAATCAGTTGGTTTCAGTCTTCAAACTGCTAATCAGGTGATCTCCTGCTTTGTTGGAATGAAAACCTGCAGCCACACCAGCCCTTTGTGGATAAGATTGGACACCCCTGTACTAGGCCTCTCTGGGATGCTCCTTATATATATCCAAGCATGATTACACCGCCTGTTTGAAATATTTTTGATCATTTCACAATGTTTCTAGACTTAAATTGAACCTGTCTCAACTTTTTGGAAGGTGTTGCAGCATCAGTTTTAGAATGGGAATGTATTTATAGAAATCAATGAAGTTGTTAAGACAAAACAGTAAATATTAAATATCTTGTCTTTGTACTGCTTTCATTTAAAAACAGGTCAAAATAGATTTACTAACTGTTTTCTGTTTTTGTTTGCATTTCACATACCGTCCCAGTGTTTTTGGAACTTGGTTTGTGGATCCATTCTTATAATAATAAAAAGGATATACTGAGGAACTGAGTTGGACCTTCAGGAAAAATAATGCTAAGGATCATACTCCTGCTGATTATAACTAATCTGTATTTAAAGAGGAATGTTCTACTAATTCGGTTCCAAATGAGCAAGACACAAACACAACCCACAAACTCTTACTGTAAACTTCTACTCCCTAAATTGCACCATATCAGACATCCCTCACAAATTAGGGTGTTCACTGAAATCTGGAAATGTCCCAAAGGTATCCAGACACCCCTTCTAATTAGAGAAGCATACAGCTTGTATGATCTCCATAGAAAAGCATTTCCAATTATAATGGGATGCTCTGGAGCAGCTGCACATGAGGCTAACATTAGAGGCTGTTGCTGCAACAAAGGGGGAGTAAATGCCCTTCTAATACCCTTGATTTCATAAGAAATGTTTTATGAGCAGGTTGTGGACAGTGTTGCACTACGTGGCCACAAGCTATATAGACCCATACACAGCACACACTCCATCAATCTGAAGAACCATTTCACCATGTAAATAGTTCTATACAGAACTCATGGTTCTAAATAGAACCACTGCCTCTTCTAAAGAAACCCTGAAGAATCGTTTTCGAGGGTGTAACGTTACATCAACCCTAAACTTGCCCCCATCGACCTGATAACCCCACTACAGAGGGCTGTTCCCAAAGTTACGGCAAGTCTAAGTAATGCTAGGTTAAATAACGTTAGCTACATTTGCGACTTCGTCGTCTTCCAGACTATATCCACGAAAGGCCTCACAGCAAGAACTTAAACTATTTTTAAGGTGAACCCGTTTTGGTTCTGAACTGGACCCAGCCTTGTGGCTACTTCATCATTTCTGACTTTGTTCAGAAGCGCTAGTTAGCATCTTAGCAGCGTCTGTGAACACACAAAGTTACATCTAAACTAACAGCTTTACAGCGGATAGCGCAGCGTTTTATTCATTAACGAAACAGTCAATTCTGCACCAGTCCGAGTCTAAGAACAATGTGAGCATTACAAACAAGTAATAAAGCCGTTATTACTGCAGGGCTAGCGCTGCTGTCCTTCAGAAACCTCACTGTGGGCTCACAGCCGTTAGTGGGCTCTTAGGGATTAGCCGAGTGATGCGGCCAACAAGAGAAACAAAAAGTAAGAGACACACACTTTCGTCAGCGACTTAAATCATAAATGAACACTATCCGACATCCTTACCTCGCGCTTAGTTTGTGTTCAGGTCATGCAACAGATGAAACATAAATATACACGTCGGAATATCTAAACCGAGTCAAGTGGGACAACTTCTACTTCCTCAGGATTTTATCTCCGCACGTTGCACTTTTGGCGCTAGCCAATCAGCAGACTCCTCAGAATCCGGTGGTCCAATAGAAGAAAAGAAAGCACACATTGGTGAGTCATCGCTGATAAAAGAAACCTCGAGTTGACCAATAGGGGTGTAGACGAACAGGTCCAACTGATGTAACTGGAATTGAGTTCCTGAACTGCCCTTTCGCCAATACACAGCGAGCAACGGAGAACAGGACACGGTATCTACATTGATTCGGTGTTCTGATCAGTTGTGCTACCTTCTCGAAATGTCCTACCGTACCGAATACTTTAAGGTAGCGCTGTACATAAAACTGTAGGTAGTACATTTTGATGGCCTAAAGAACCCTATCAGAAAATGCTACCAGCACTGAAATCTATAGGTAGGATCATTTGATAGCCTACATCTCCTTATCAGAAAATGTTAAAAGTATCAGAATAATTCTGGCATTTTGATCGTACATCATCTTATCAGGGGGCAAGTAATAATGTTAAGCTGAGTCTGTACTGAATAACCACAATAAAACGTGTGAAACATTAAGCTACTACTACTACACTATAGTATTGATATGCGCATGCTCAATAGGACCACTCGATGGGTAGGACAAATTGTTAGAACACCATTCTTAAATACATTTAAGCAAGTGACCATTAACTCTATTTGTCACGTACAGAATACAGCAGAAGGCAGATATATCTGAGATGCAGCCTTCTTCATTTATTTATACTGACCGTACAGATCTGAATGTGATAAACGCGAATAACGCACTGCAACACATCATATATGACTTTTTAATCTGGTTGATATGATGGCACATATGTCAGACTGTAAAGAGCAAAACGGGTTTTCATGTCTAAACGGTCATAACATCAAACTGTAACTGTTTTAATAGCATAGAGAAAAGGCAATGTTGCAGCCTACTATAAAATAAAACACCTACATGTGCTATAACTATGAAAATATTTCTTTTAAAAAAATAAGTAAAAAATATTAAATAAGCCAACACGGTCACTGGTATTTAAGATGTTTTTATTAAAGTTGCATAAAAGTGTAACAAAACTGGGAGAACAGGACATTTAGTATTGCTACATCTTCTTCTAATTCTTTTTCCTTTTCCAAAGATGACATTCAACCACAGACTAATATCAGGTGCCTACGTTTTCTAATACATCCTGTGTCTTCTTATTAAATTCAGTTAATGTTATATTTTTTTATGATCTTCTGTGTAAGAAAGAAGAGAAATCAACAGCATTGTCAGATACAGTACACACAGTAATAAAAAATCACCTTAATATCTGCATCTAGACAATTGGTCTGTTAAATCTAGTCAACTTTATTTTCTATAAAACAGAATAATTGAAAAGAGAGTAAGAAAGTACAACAAGGATGTTTTGAATCCTGAAGCCCAAAGGTTTCCATTTTTTACATGTTTATATGCTCTTCAAAATGAATGCCTCAATTTTTTTGGTTTCTGTAACACATATATGACCTAAGGCAACATCTGATATAAAAAGGGGAAAAAGGGAGTGATTCTTTCTGGAAAAGATTAGTGCTGTAAAGAGAGAGAAACTATAGGAGGAGGGACACTGTTGGTGCCCTAAAGAAGAGATAGAGCAAGTGGGATTAACAATGAGAGGGAGGGAAGGAGAGATAGAGCTGTGTGGTTGAAGTGACCATCTCTCTTGTTCTTCTTACACTGTATCTGACTCCAGAGTCTGACTCCAGATCAGCCTGCAATCACTACAATCAGCTGTCTTCACTACTAGAGAGCATGTTGGACCTTGTCAGCAGGGACAGCCAATATGATTTTGTTGTCATGATAAATTATACCACAATAATTTTTTCTGTGTATATTGTGGATATCAGCAGTAAAACTGAACAACTGCATGTTCCACGTTGCACAGCTGTCCAAGGTTCAGCTCGACTGTCGGGTGATTTGAAACTTGACAATATGTGAAACTTATTTTTGCTGTTTTAATAGCAGCTTTAAAGCTGTAAGGTTTGGGGATTTTGAGACCTCTCTGGTGGAAATGTGTAATTGCACACAACATGCGGAAGAGCATTTTGCAACATCAGTTGTGCTTCGGACCCCTTCCGCTAGGGGATGAATCTGATGCTTGTAAGCTTGTTTAAGGAGTAATTGACTGAGTAGCTCAGGCAAAACTTGGTGAAGGACATGTCTCCAACAATGTAGGTTTTGATTATCTACTATGTCATCAGATCTTCATCAGCATAATGTTGATTTTGCACCTGAGGCCTAAACATTGAGCCGGACCCTCCTTTTGAGGCTGTATGGGTCGATGTTAATACGCAGAGATTTATGACATGATTTCACGCTTTGCAGAGGGACTCGCAGCAGCACATGGGAACCATATTTTAGCCTCAGTAATGCTATTGCTTTCAATTTGAACAAAACATCCATGGTGCCGTTTTGAGTGTGGTACTGCTGGTGCATTATGCCTCTTCCAACTTTTCAAGCCCTAGATAAACAAAATATTGTGATGCGTATGAAGGCATCATGAAAATGTCTCCAAGTAATTTCTGCCATATTGCCCAGCCCTGCCTTCTAGATTTGGTGCTCATTTGTGTATGAGACTTTATTTATGTTAAAGGGTAATGGGTGAAGCATCTTCAGTCAACTTACACACACACAGACAGATTGTAAAACGTGAATGTAATAAATGTGTAAATTATGTGAATGCAAAAGCACAGAATATGCAAATTAGCCCCATTAGCCCTCTGTTGTATTTGATTGGCTGTGAGGGAGGGCACAGATGGCTTTGTGGTGAAGATGATTCGCAGAATTACTTGAAAGGATTAATTGTGTGAGGATGAACTGGCAGTGTTTTAGACCTCTTCTCCATAAATCTCCACCTTACTGACTTACACTTGACTAACTCTCTCGCCACATATGGAACAAAAATATATGTACATACATTTTCCCATATTAAACATGTATGTGCAAAATATGTCACTATGGGTTAAATTTATTTAAATTTGCCTGGTTTATTGAAACATATGCCATATTCTATTAAAATATATGCCAATATTTTCATATATGTGCATATTTTGAATCAGATGTACATTTATAATAACAATCAATATTGCCAATGTTTAATATTTCTAAATTGACACACATTTTAAAAATATATGTATTTGAATATGAGCCGCTTTGCATGTGTGTGGACTGATAACCACAGCTGTGGTAGATGATGTGTATATTCACTGATCCCTGAGGGTTGGGATGCCCATGTGTGTGTGAAAATGTGTGTTTATATTATATGTGTATATGTCTAAAGGGAAGTTCAGTTAAAAAAAAAAATCAATTTTCCAGCACCACTTCACCACAGACCCCCTCTCCTCTCCCATCTCTGCATTGTTTCCATTACAAATAAAAAGTCTACATCAACATTCTCTAGCAAAGCCCTTGCACACAGTGTGACACATACAAGATCAAAGAAATAGGAGGAACACGTTTAAAAAAAGGACAAGGCCGCTTCTTTCTCATCTCTTCCAAACTTACTATAGCGCAGTAATGGTCATAGCATAGTCTGTCACCTACACACAGCAAGTTTATGGTGAGTGTGGCCATTAGGGACACATACGCAGTATTGCATCAGAGAAAAAAAAAATCAAAATTCAACACAATTTCCTAACACCTGAAATAGTTATACGTGTAGAAACAATGCATTTCTACAAATGCTTAAAAACACTACAAAGTCTTTCCCCCTTTTACAAAAAAATAAAAATAAAATACCATACAATTAACAAAATAAAGAAAAAAATAAGCCCTGCTTATAAGAATCTGATTGGCTAGAGCCTCCCATGACCCCACTTCCTTCTCTTCCTCCTCCCCGTGAGATGGAGATGCAGGCCTATGGTTGGTTGAGCACCTGTTGGCAGGTGGATGGCCACAGTGGGAGAGGAGGTGTAGGAGGAGTTGGGGAGATGTCTTAGGAGGGGCTGCGCTGGAGGAGCTTTATTTCTTCTGAGGAGTGCTGAGCTTCTGCATCCCGCGAATTTTATCCAGCAACTCAGACACAAAGTCCTACAGGAGGAGAAGAGAACAGACATAACAGCTTCACCAAAGAGCCTCAGCATAACTAAGAAACCAAACATGAATGTGTTCAGTTCATTTGTAAGCCCCTGTGTCTGCCCGTAAATCTGGAGCGCCTGATGCCATTGTTTAGTTACACTAGTTACAAAAGTGTTTGCTGTTAGTCAGAGTGCTATTCTGATCGTCATTCGTTATGTAGCGCTGGTATGTGAAGTTACATGGTGTTTACAGTTACTGTCAGTGAAAGACTGGTGGCTTTAGATAACCCCCCAGTTTGCCGAAGTAGTACATGTACGTGTGTGTGTATATATATATATATATGTATATTTATATTTATATATATATATATACACACACACACACACATAAGTATTACCTATTTTGTGTAGGTAAGCCTACAGCCCTACATTATTTTCGGCCAAAGTCCTTTTTTCCCCTATTTTTCTTTCCCCGCAGTTAACTGGATATCTGTTCATGAACTCTTATAGAAATTTGGAAGCATATTACTTTATTCAACAATTATTATATGTTTTAAAATGTATTAACTAAACAATAAAATGTATTTTAGATGCCTTTAAGTCATAAAATTATGCTTTATATACTGTCTTTATTTGTACTTCTATGTTATCTGCCATGAGATTTGATCACCGCTTTTCTAATACGAAGCATTCTGAGTATTCATTTTATTCTAACACAATAATATGGACTTAAGTACAGCTCACACTTCTAAAATGTCTTCAATTTTGTCATCTTCCTATAAATGATTTGGAACCTGTAGAGTTGAACAGATGTGCAGATACAGATGTGCAGATAAGTTTGTGTGTTTTTGTTTCATTCTATAGTGTTATTCTATATAAAGAGCACTTACTTCAGTAGGTTTGTAACAATCTACCAGCAGTTCCTGTGAAGAAAAAGACAAACAATGTGGTTAATGAAAAAAGCTCTCTTAAAATACTCCAAAATGATATGACCAGTTCCAAAGAGAGTGTGAAACACAGTACCTTAACACGTGCAGCACGATCTACATCATTCTGCATGTCCAATAACTCATCAACATCAATCTCCAGCTCAGGAATGGCCTCCTCCTGCCACAGACACACGCACACACACATAAGAGAGGGACAGTGGTAAGGGCCCTGCATTTTTAAGAGGCATTTTAGGTCAGACAAGATATAAATGCTTGCACCATATGTGACTTTTTGCAATACTTTTCGGTGTTTGTAATCCCCACAAATGGCTAATCAAAAGAAGTAGGTGTAAACAATGGAAACACAGTGTCACTGTTGTTTGAAAAGTGTGTATGTGTGTGTGTATGTGTGCACACAAGTTCCACAGTTACATCTGTTTTGTATGTGTGGCTGGTTTAAATGGAGTTTAAGACTTTTATATCACCTTAAAGGAGAATTGCGCTGATTTTCTGCATAATTCCCTTGTTACAACATAAACAAAGTCATTCAGAATGGTTTGGGGTGAAATGGTGCATGGTAGAGAAACTGACTCTGATTTATTTACAGTGGTGGCGATGTTTCCAGCCATGTTTAGGCCAAAACTTTATCACAAATGTACTCTAAAACCATTTGTCAGACCTCATCCATTTCATGAAATAACTTTGTGAGGTATCTTTTAGAGATATTAAATGCTTGGGGCAGACGTCTGGTTCCTATCACCTCTATTCTGACTTTCTCTAGAACAAAGCATTTCACATCAAACCACACTGAATGACTTTGTTTACATCTCAACCAATGCAGAGATTTTGAAGCTGGAAATCCCCTTTAACCAGAAGGCCGGTGCAGTAGCATCAGCTCACCACTGGGGGGCTCTCTTATTAAAGAGCTGAAATGGAACACCAGCCTTCTATTATTCTTGTAGCACAGCTTGCCTCCCTATACGCACATTCAAATGAGCTTACTGAGTGAAACACATTCAGATGAACTTACTGACTGAAATTTACACGCATGAATCAAATTCCTTCTCTAATTTGGCTTTACAGGAACTGAAAATGCAAGGAAAACAGTCTGAGAAATTACATCTGAAATCTGAAAACATTGGATGGTATTGAGAATGAAACACTATTATATAAATGAACAAATAGGTTCAGCTATGAAAAATACAGACCTTATTATGTAAACACTAAAAAGCATAACAACCAGAGTTCATACATAGCTCTTAGTCACACAAAACCAGCAAGAAACCTTTCTGACTGTCAGTCCAGGTTACAGAAGCCATGACCGAAAAACAGTTTAAAAAGTTACCTAAATGGTATATGTGTGGTGCTACAACCGCAATCTGGGTTGAGTTCTCTGCAAAGAGGCACAGGATGCATCATAACATGGCAGAACATAGAATCACCTCTCGCATTTTCTCTTAACAGCTAAGCTACAGTGTTGTTTGGAAAACTGTGTCCTAGCAAGCTTCTTTTTTCTGTGTTTGCCTCCTTTTTATGAAACTGACAAAGACAAGGAGGACCTTTAGAAATGACAATACGAGCTACACAACCACAACCTCAACCACAGCGACAGCAACGATGACAACAACAACAACCTTAATGTATTTACCACTTTGCTTTGCTCAGGAAGACAAAACACTAGAAAGATGAAGTACCTTGGTCTAAATGAAATAACAGCAATATAGACCTCTGAAGTTACAGCAGGCATCATACCCACATAAGGAATGGTGAGTCTAAACTGCTTTCTTTATAGGAAAAATAGTTGCTGTTGTACTCCGTGGTAAACAAAAATGAAATAAATAAAAAAAAATATACAAAATGACCACGACTTCAGAGTCCATTATAAACTATAAGACAAAGGGAACCCCAATACATTACACGAATGCAAGTCTAAACAAGTCGGTAATCTGGATTTAAAAAACACCATGATGAATGTTGGTCAGTGGTATCGGTCAGCTCCAGTCAGGCTGTCTCCAGACCTCAGCATTAGGCAGTACATGCAGGACAATCACGCCTCTTGACCCAAGCACAGAAAGTAACGTGACATCAAATAGAATCAAAACCCTCCTCAAGGCACAATATGAGAATAGATTAAAAAGCAGAACTGACAGGCTTCAGAATGACTAATGTGTGTGAGTGGGGCTTCGACTTTATCTGTCTCAGATAGCTTTATAGCTCTGCTGTTACCCTCCAGCCAACAGAGCAAATTTTAAGATACTTTTGCCCAAATGTGATTTTATGCTTTTGTAAGGCATATTTAGTTCTGATCTACTGCAGCGTTTGGGTATTTTTATCAGTAAAGTTTGCATACGCAGCTAACTGCCTTTTGGGAAAAGCTGGACATGAAACAGAAGGGTTTGGAAATAACTGTCAAAAGTCACTGGCTGCAGATTTGTTTTCCTTTTCTCTCAGTTGGCTCTCAGGGCTACTCTCTCTGTCTACGTGCTTTCTATATCTACACTCAGCTTTCCTAACGTTCTACTTTTTTTCTCTTCCTTCCATTCCACTTACGTTTCATTTGTCCTACTTGTTACACTGTGTTATAATCTGCCTGTTAAACATGTAGTTTAGATTTCTGCTTCAGTCGAGTATAAAAATAGACCTCCAACCAGTGGCTGGAAAAGCGGGGCCTAAATTACATGCTGCACTATTTCTCTTCTCCTCTCCTCCCTCCAGTCCTCATATTCTTTCCTCTCCCATAAAGTCTCTCTCTCTGTGAGGCCTGGTTAATAGTCCTACTCTTTCTTCAGCCCACCACTTCTCTCTCTCACGCTCTGTCCTTGTTTTCTCCCCTTCTCTTTCTCTCTCTCTCTCTCTCTCTCTCTTTCTCTCTCTTTCTTTTACTTTGTTTCTTTCTCCTTTTTTTAGTCATCTTCTTTTCTCTCTCTTTCACTCTTTTTTCTTGCACTCCCTCCCCCACCTTCTCTCTCTCTCTCTTGCTCTCTCTCTCTCTGCAAGACTCTCTCTCCTCTCTCTCTCTCTCTCTCTCTCATTGTGGTTTGAGAACAGTGACTCACTGAAGTGCTAGAAGAGTAAAATATATCCAGGCTAAGAAAATGAGCGGTGCTTTTTAAAGGCTCCACTGTTCTGCCGTACATTAAAACGTTCTAAAGCGTGAGCAGGCCGTGTTCTGCAGCGGAAAATCAAACAGCAGAGAATGAAAATGGTTTAAAGGGCTCTCTTTTCCACTGCCACTCTCACTCTTTCCTCTTTTTCACTCCTCTCTTCCTCCCCCTTGGTTTGAGCTGCCCAGACCAGCTGTCACTGCACCTGCCCAACTGCCCCCTGCCCAAATCTCACACATTCACTCTGGCAAGCACTCTTCACACAGGCGACCTTTCACTCAGAGTGAACAGAGTAGTACACTGATACTGCTGCCATAGTATCTCTCTGTTCCTTCTCACACAACACACACACACACAGACGTGCACACACACACACACACACACACACACACATTGTATGTAAAAATTTGTGTGTCCCTGTTTAAATTACACTTTTTGTTGATTTTCTAAGTGAAAATAAGGACACACCCTCTACAGAGAGCACACTTCTACACATTTTAATACACAATCACTGTTTGTTATTTGCTGAAAAAAAAATAAAACATAAAATGTAGCCTGTGCAAAAGTTATGGCACATTTTAAGAGTGCTCTCTGCAGGGAAAGTGTTAACATATTATCACTTTGAAAATCAGCAAAACAGTAATTTGGTGTTCACACCTTTGTATACCACTGTGTATATATTTATATATAAAAGAATCAGACATGGACAAACTACAGTGAGTATTGTACTTGAGTAAAGGTACAAAAGTACCTGTTTGTGAATGTACTTAAGTATCAGATGTAAAAGTACTTTGAGTTCTTTTAGATTTTATATACTATATTTGTTATTTTGATGAAAATTTCAACACACACTTAAGCATATACATATCTGATTCAGGAGGCCTGTGTGGCCACAGACATTAACAACTACTACAGTACAGAACTTTTACTTTTACTTTTGATACTTAAGTACATTCACAAGCAAGTACTTTTGTACTTTTGCTTGAGTTGAAATATAGAAAGAATGCTTATACTTTTACTGATGTAATGTTTTATGAAGACTATTTCTACTTTTACTCGAATACAGAAATACTGTACTTGCACAAAGAAAATAAGAGCAAAAGCGCTAAACCAATAGTAATGATTAGTAAAGGTTTCTCAATGAGAAAGAATGTGTGTCTGTATGTGCGTGTGTGTGAGAGAGACCGAGCATGTGTACACTAAGGGTATAACGGGGGTTAAAGAAACTTAAGTAGCAGAACCAGACAGAGGTATTCAAGAACATGAGCTGAGCTCTTAGAATGATGGACGGACAAACTGCAGAGAAAAATGTTTTGAACATGTGGACACCACGTGCCACCAATCACTCAGAGAGAGAGAGAGAGAGAGAGAGAGACAGAGAGACAGACAGACAGACAGATAGACAGAGAGACAGACAGACAGAGAAAAAAGAGAAATCGAGTGTGCATGTGAGAGAATGAGAGAATGAAATGTACAAAAGAAGAAAGAGAGACAGAGAGCATGAAAAACTTAGATAGAAAGAAAGAGGAGAGAGAGAGAGAGACAAAGAGAGAACAGGAAATCAGTGGAAGTGAGTTAATGGTACAGATTAGACAGCAGGTTAATGGGATAATCACCTCCAGTAAATATAACGAATGTTAAAACATACACTTAAACTGATCTTCATTTAATCCAGCGAAACATCTGAGATAATCCCTGTGTTTACACTCACACACACACACAAACACAATCCTTACCTAAACATTTACTAAGCGTGTGAGTGATACAGTGAGTGTGAGCCTGGCACACATTATGAGTCAGTCTTCATGTGTGTGTTCCATCCTGTGTGATTCAGTGGCTATTTTGTGTGAATCACTGTGAATAATTGGAAGTATTTGTCAGTGTAGGGTGTGCTAGCATGCATATGCATGTGTGTGTGTGTGTGTTGATGAGTTCAGAGCCTGTTAAAGTATTCTGTGTGTCTTTGTGAGCATGTGTGTGTGTATTGTGTCTGTGTTATATTACAGTGCCATACACTGCTGCATACACTGTACGTGTGTTTTGTTTTTTTTAGCTGTGTGAATCTTCAAGTTCA